TTCCGCTTCCAGACTTTCCTAATTTTCAGAAATTTAAATGCAATTTCAGTCGTTATCTACTGTCTTTTTGATTCCTTTTCGTCTACTGTCCTCATCCATTAATAATGTTTCACTTTTTTCTTATTCTTTCACACTCGGTAACCCCCTTGTGGCTTAGTGGCTTTACTGCCTTACATGGGGTGAAAAAATTAAAAAAAAAAAAAAAAAGTCTACCCAATTCAGAATTCTGATATAGTTTACTTAATTCGTAATGGCAAAATGTTAAAACTGGTACATAGACCGTTTATTTTTCAATTTCATAGACCCTGTGCAAGCGTTTACAGAGAAATAGGCATGAAAGCAATCAACCCTGGATAGTAAAATAGATATATCTATTAATAATCGTCCTTTACTAATCTTTCAATAGAAAACTTTCAGACGGAAATTAACAGGAGATAACTGATAACTGACATCCATTAAACATGGCACGTGGAACTAGAACAGTCTACCCCAGTGAGCGAAATAAAGGGTTCAGTTCGACATTCCAACCACCTGAAGGAGGCTGCAGCATACAATGGCCGAAACGTTGTAATAAATATAGCGACAAAGATGAGGACAATAGTCCGAATAATGTAAATAGTGTACATAATACCACATCTCAGAAATATAGACAGATACTGAAAGGCTGAAACGTTGTAATAAATATGGCGACAAAGATGAGGACAATAGTCCGAATAATGTAAATAGTTTACATAATACCTCATCTCAGAAATATAGACAGATACTGAAAGGCTGAAACGTTATAATAAATATGCCAAAAAAAGATGAGGACAATAGTCCGAAAAATTTAAATAATGTACATAATACCTCATCTCAAAAAATATACACAGATATCTTATAATTAATATCATACATTTTGTTTATAATTATAAAGATAATTAGTACACCATCAACAAAGTGTTAATTGTTAATGTTTTATTATGTTAAAATAAACGTGTACTATTACCTGTTGCAGCATTCACCCAGTCGATCGAACCGTCTCCATCATAATAGAGTTCGTATTCATTCAGACTTTCAAATTTATAATAGGAGTCTTAGTGGGAATTTTGACAATCCCCAGCGGCATGTATACACACTTTTAGGATAGTTCGATCCCGTTTGAATTTAATTTCCTTCTCCTAAATCGGTTCCCAGTGCCCAGTCTCTCCTGCTATTTGCTAGGGGATGTATTAGCGCTTTATCGGAATGTAATGAACTCGAATGGACTTCAAACTCCGTTCTCCGTCTCCTCAAACCAATCTGCTGATCATTACTCCATCGTGTAAGAACAGTATATATACCTGAACCTTTAGCGGCATCCACCCGGGATTAACTGAGCCGGCTCCATCAAACGAACCCCACCCCTTCGAACGAAAGCAGATCAAGCGTAGCAGGTGTCTTATTATAGCATCAATGGAATTTGGATACAAAAGCGCTCCTTAGCCGTTTGTATTGTCACTTTTTAGTGCTATTCGGTTTGAATTTAGAGTTCCCTTCTCCTAAACTGATTAATAGGACTCAGTTTATATTACTATTTTACCCATAGCTGGGGGAGATATTAGCACTTACCTGAATGCAATAAACTTGTCTGGAATTCGAACTCCGCTCTATGACTTCTCAAAGTAATCTACTGAGCACTACTTCGTTTATTAACCCGGAACCTCCGAACGAAATCTGAGTGAACCTCGCAGAGGTTGTATTCATTCCGACGTACAACTTCATAGTAGGACTTTTAATGGGAATTTGGATTCAAAAGCAGTCCCCAGCCGCGGGTATAGTTACTTTTAAGATAGTGCGATGCGGTTTTAATTCAGTTTCCATCTCCTAAACTGATTAATAGGACAGTTTGTCCTGCTATTTTACCCATAGATGGGGGAGAGATATTAGCACTTAACTGAATGTAATGAACTCGACTCGAAATCGAACTCCACTCTCCGACTCCTCAATCCAATCTGCTGATCGTTACTCCAACGTGTAAGAACAGTATATATATACCTGTAACTGTTGCGGCATCCTCCCGGGATCAGTTGACCCGGTTCCATCAAACGAACCCGACACCTCCGAACAAAAGCTGAGCGAACCGGGCAGAGGTCGTATTCATTCGGACGTACAACTTCATAGTAGGTCTTTTAGTGAGAATTTGGATTCAAAAGCGTTCCCTAGCCTAAGGTGTAGACATTTTTAAGATAGTGTGATCCGGTTTGAATTCAGAGGTTCCTTCTTCTAAGACTGATTGATAGGAGTCAGTCTATCCTGCTATTTTACCCATAGCTTGGGGGAGGCACGGTGGAGTAATGGATAGCGGCTTGGATTGAGGAATCGGAGAGCCGAGTTCGAATTCCAGTCGAATCCATTACATTCACTTACGTGCTAATACCCTTGGGAATGGTGTGAATCCTCTTTCTTCTCCTTCCAGCTATGGGTAAATAGCAGGACAGACTGGGTTCTAGGAGAATGGCTTCTAGGAGAAGGAAAACTCTGAATTCAAACCTGCTCTTAGAGGAGGGTGAATGGAGTCTCTCTGAGCCTTGGTTGGCTATCTATTTAGTGTTGGTGTCAGGATAAAAACACCCTTGTTAGCCCTAGAGAAGCATCAAGAATTCAGCTATTTGACAAGATTATTAACTACACCAATCAAAGTATTGGTGAGTTCAATCTCGGCTGAGGCCGCAAGATGATGATGATGAGGGAGATGGATTCATACCTTTCCCAAGTGTATTAACACTGGATTACAAACTCGGCTCTCTGATTACTCAATTTTTACCCATAATTATCATTCAATTCCCCTGCTGCGTATCGCATATTGTTGCGTAGTGCTCTACCTTGAGTGTCTCTTAGGTTTTGTATTGGGTTAAATATAGTTAAAAAAAAAAAGAAGACGTAAATTATAATTATATTAATAATACTTATTAATGCCATGTTCAAAATTCCATCTCCTTTCGCGTTCGTACGAATATACTGAAGAAAGGTATAAATCTATCTGATATCCTGCAACTGTACCTTTGGCGTCATTCACCTGGGATCAGCTGAGGCGGTTCCGTCAAACGAACCCATCGCTTCGGAACGAAAGCTGACCAAGCGTAGCAGATGTCGTCTTAATTCGAACGAGCAAATCAACAGTAGCAGTATAAGAGGAATTTGGATTCACAAACTGTCCCCCAGTCGCAAGTTTACATACTTGTTTGGATAGTTCGAACTGGTTTGAATTGCGCGTTTCCTGCTCATAGACCGGGATATATGACCTACTCTGGGGAGAGCGAAGGAGATGGATTCATAGCTCTCCAAACAGTACTAGTATATACTATGTTATATCTCCTTTTCTGCATAGCAGCGAATGCTTGACAATTTCCTTCGAGATGAGAAAGGGACTCGAATCGACAGAAATCTAGTTCTACAGACATGTTAAGAATAACATGAACAAAACATGTGAGCAAGGTGGAAGTTTAAAAAAATTTGAATTAGAATACTTCAGACCAGAATGAGTCGACTAGAAATTCCACTGAAAAAAATATAAGGAAGAACGGCCTGGAAAATTTAATACTCACAAGAGTAAAAGAGTAATCGCGAGAAACATGCTTAAAAGAGATTAGATGAATAGGTGGAGAAGAAGGACGAAGCTGGATGATGAAACCGTGGCTGTAACTTTTGCTGCATTCACCAGGCATCAGCTGAGCCGGTTCCATTAAACGAACCCGTTGCCTCGGAACGAAAGCTGACCAAGCGTAGCAGATGATGTCTTCATTCGAACGAGCAAATCAATAGTAGCAGTATAAAAGGAATTTAGATTCACAGCAATTCTAAGTCGCATGTATACACGCTTTTAGGATAGTGCTATCTATTTTGAATTCAGAGTTTCCTTCTCTTAGACTGGTTGTCACCCAAGGCTATAGGTCCAATCTATCCTGCTATTTTAAAACTTAGGGCGATGAGCACTTTGACGAGGTGTAATGGCTTGTCTAGCTAGATCAATGACAAATGAACAGTGGGTTCGTTCCTTGCTGTATTCAAAACCCTCGGTCTTGTGCCAGGTTTCAGCTGCGCTTAGAAATTAACTTGGGCAATTCGACGTGGTGTATTGGTTAACAAGCTTGTCTCGCTATATCTGTTACGACTGAGTAGTAAGGTCAATTACGACTGAATAGGGACTTCGATCCTCATTGAGTGCTCCACACTTTCGGCCTTGTGCCACATCTAAACTACGCTTAGAAAATCATAGGCGCTTCAACGTGGTATACTGGTTAGCATGTATCTCGATAGATCAATTATGACTGAATAATGACTCAGATCCTCATTGAGTGCTCCACACTTTCGGCCTTGTGCCACATCTAAACTACGCTTAGAAAAATCATAGGCGCTTCAACGTGGTATACTTATTAGCATGTATCTAGATAGATCAATTATGACTGAATAATGACTCAGATCCTCATTGGGTGCTCCACATTTTCGGCCTTGTGCCATATCTAAGCTACGCTTAGAAAATCATCTAATTTAAGGAGCGAAAGAGATGGATTTATCTTTCCCAAGGTAAGTGAAATGTAATGAACTCGACCAGAAGTCGAATTTGGCTTTCCATGAGAGGGGCGAGTAGAGATGGTTTCATGCCTTCATTCGAACCAGTAACTTTTACGCCACCGTGCCTTAGTGTCGTTATCGTCGTAAATAATTAAAGAATATTAATGTTTCCCCTTTCTTTCTGAGCACTGTGGACAAACTTGAATTATGTTCTTCATTATATGCAAATGAGAGCTATTTATAGAACAGACTCCCGAGAGAATGCTTACCGAACATTGCAATGATACGCGTCTATGGTCATGAGATGAGTTATTCGTGTCTATGGTCAACCGTTATCTATCTTAAATATCCTCATCTTTTAACTACCTCTCTCTACGAACATAAAAGTATCTTATTCAGAAGCCCTCTATTTTGAGTGGCTCTTGTGCCTTATATTGAGTGAACGATAGTATAAATATAACCTCTGCGTTTTAGACTAGTTTATTCTGAAAGTTTTCAACATCACGCTTCGTGATAGATAGATAGATAGATAGATAGATAGATATAATTGGGTTACAATCAATAGAGTGATAGATATATTTGAAAAGAATCAAGTAAATAGATATGGACAGACGATGAGTATGATGTGAATAGATGGCTAAATAAGGAGAGTGTCAGAAATAGAAAGAGCGATGATTAGACTATGATAGATAGATAGATAGATAGATAGATAGATAGATAGATAGATAGAACCAGACTGAGATAGCTAGCTAGAGAGAGGGATAGTAAGAAAAACACACTCAGATAGATAGATAGATAGAAAGAACCGGGATAGATAGAACCGAGATAGATAGATAGATAGATAGATAGATAGATAGAACCAGGCTGAGATAGATAGATAGATAGATAGATAGAACCAGGCTGAGAGAGAGGGATAGTAAGAAAAACACACTCAGATAGATAGATAGATAGATAGATTAAGAAAGGTTCAAATAACTTATCGCATGACCTACTTCAATGTTTTACGAACATTTTATTAATTTATTGACTATTCCCGCTCTAGATTTATTGAGGAGTTACTTGACAAAATTTTTACTCCCTTGACTTACGTCAAATTCCCGTAATTTAACAGTTTTCAATAGTTATCTATTTGTACAATTACTACACACGCGCGCAGGCGCAAACACACACACACACACACATGTATATATAATGAAGGAATATACTCTTAAGGTGTGCTATATTTCTGGGATAAAGCGCTCATTATCAGAGATAGAGCGTGTGTAAATATAAAAGTGAACACTTCGAGACGACAGGCTGTTTCATGCTACATGCAATCGTCTGGCCGCCTGACGATTGCGTCTAGTGTTGACTTCAATGTTCAATGAAAATGAAACATACTTATTTATATCTGATATTCTAATAATAATTTTTAAATAATAAAGTAATTCTAATACATTTATTCGTTTTAAAGGAAGTATAGTCTATTAGTAATGAGAATTAGGAATAATATTTTAAAATTGTGTTTTAATACGACGTACCCACATTCAAATAACCTATTGGAAAAAGTCTTTATGTATACAATCACAAATTTAACGGCAAAACAAAAGTGCCCAAAAAATTTTTGTCATTGAAAAAAAAAAACAGACGACATGAGAAAAACTGATATCTTCATTTGTTGAACAGGCACCCCTATCCTACCTTATTTTAACCTTATTTCGAAAGTAACTCATATTTTGATACAATAGTTGTCAGTGAAAATGAATACCCTACCACCCTTTGTCAAAATGATTGAATTTCCCCGTATCATTAGAAACTAACATTAAGAATATATGTGCTTATAAAACTCAGTAAATTTCAAAATAAGTTATTCCAAAATTCGCTTGAAAATGAAACTATACTAGTAATTTTAATTTAATTCTATAATTAAATTAGAATTTTTTAGTTTCTGTTTTTGAAACATGGTAATTCCTGTGCAGTGATGGGACACTATTTTTAAACTAATAAATTTATAATATTTATGCTTTACAGAATTGTATTGAGCATTGTTATTTTTTTTTTTCAAAATAAAAATAATTAATAAGAACACCGGATTATAAATCTTAATGTTCTTTTTTTATTATTATTATATATATATATATATATATATATATATATATATATATATATATATAAACGAAAGGGTAAATATAGATGGGTATACGAGCGATCGATCGTGTGCAACTATAAATGAATACTCTAAAGTGTAAGAAAAAACATTGCTCAGTGTTAATGTAATATATTATGTATATTTCTTTAAAACGCCATTTTTAATTTCGCGCATGCGCGTCGTTTGTTTTTGGTTATGACGCCAGAAATTTAGAAACGGCATGCTGTATTGCTTGGCATATATATATATATATATATATATATATATATATATATATATATATGCATGTATAGTCATCCACAGTCTGACTGTTTCGCTGTATGACAATTCTTCAGTGTGGCTCGACGTCTCATTGCTTCAGGCCGGGATCGAAACCCGACCGATTTGGCATCAGTCGGAGATCCTATCTCTAGGCTATCGTCAAATACGAAATACTCCATTGACTCGGAGAGCTCAATTCAGTTGAAGAGCCATACGTCAATAACAGTTGGAGCCACTTTTTTTAAAATCACCTTTTTCTCAACAGTGCTCACCCGGATTTCTCGGGAGCATATATATTGTCACTCACAGAGAGACTGTTTCGCTGTATCACAGCTCTTCAATGTGGCTAGACACCCGATTGCTTCAAATCGGGACCGAAACCCGACCGATTTGGCATCATTTGAGCAATGGGTAATTTCCGCTTGAAACATCTGCAATCACAAATCTATCACACTAACTACAAATTATACGCGGCATTTAAGAATAAATTTGGAGTACATTGCTATACCTTAGATTTTGCACGACAATGGCAGCGTACACAGAGGATAGAAAAAAACGTTGGTCGACTTCATGACAACGCATGACAGCACACAGCAAGGGTAATATATGAAAAGTTTTGGGGTCTCGGTTTTTCGGATCTACTGCGCCCATTATATTTGCATCTTCTTGATCCCAGCCGATTATAACATTTATCGATGAAAATATGTTCACATGAAAACCTTCAGAATCTTACTCAAAAGATGTCGAATATTTGCCCGATAACTGGCAACAAATCCCTGCATCTGGTGGCGAACGTATAATTAAATCAAATGTAATTGTACCACACTTTTTTTATTAACATTAAAATTAATAAGCAAAAATGGAATGCATTCATGATACAACATATAGATAGTGATTTTCTAAGCCCAGCTTACATGTGACACAAAGCCGAAAGTATAGGGCACTCAGTAAGGATCGAACTGACTGCTCAGTCATAATTGATCTAGCAAAACAAGCTTTCTAACCATTACACCACGTCGAGGTGCCCAAACAAATAAATAGATAGATAAATAAATAAATAACACTGAAATAGATAATGAACACTCAAATATATAGATAGACTAGCAGCATGGCCCGGCATTGCCCGTGCTTGATTAAAAAATCGTACGACTCATACAGCAATCGCTATCTCTTGACTTAAAATAGTTTTGCCCTTTCTTGCCTTTAAAGGAGTGCCCTTTGCCGTGCTGATGTTGCTACATGCCTTAATTCTTGCCTATCTCACACTGCGAATTTTTTCGAAGCTCTAGACTAAACATTAAATCTGTTACGAAAAAAGAACTAAACAAAATGAACACAAAACGATGAGCTTTAAAAAAAGGACTCGTAACTGGAAAAACCGAATGAAAAAAGAATGTTAACAACAAATACTTTTTCACATCCAACCCAGTTCTGCGGAATCAGAATCAACGTTGAGTTTAAGCAAGCGAATGAGCCAATTGGGGTAAAGTGCCATGCAGATTTAAATTTTTCCCACTTGTGACGAATGCAGCTATCGATTTTTTGGGTTTTTTTTTTTTGCATGCTAGTTAACATTCGTGTCAGTCAGCTGTTGGCTCTCACGCTGGCTAATAGTATCTTCGTGCCTATTCGTGGCAGCCAGCTATAGGCCCTCACTCTGGCCAGTAGAAAATGGCCGCAAACTACATGAAAACTGCCGTAGAAGCATGAAAAAATCGATTATTTTCACTATCGATGGCAGTTGGGAAATTCAAAGTCGGTCTTGGCCTTTACCGCTAACTTGGAGCATGTGCATGTAAATTTTGGTGCAAATCCGTCGAAAATTGCGGCCGTCCATTCGTTACACACACACACACACACACACACATCCTGCCTTTTATAGAGAGAGATACATAGATACAAACTGATTGTAGATAGATAAATAATGAACACTAAAATAGAGAGATAAATAATTAACAGTGAAATAGATAGATAGGGAACACTCAAATATATAGATAAATACATAGGTGCAAACTGTAGATAGATAAATAATGAATACTAAGATAGATAATTAACACTGAAATAGATGGATAAGAAACACTCGTGATAGTTACATAGATACAAATTGATTGCAGATAGATAGATAGATAGATAGATAAGGAACAATAAAATAAATAGATAATGAATACTGAGATAGATAGATAGATAATGAGCATTGAAATTGAGAGATTGATAATGAAAACTGAAATATATAGATAGATACATAGATACAACCTGACTGCAGATAGATAAATAGAAGATGAACACTCACATAGATAGATACTTACATACATACATATATACATACAAACTGATATGTGTTCCTGTGTGCGTCTGACAAATATATCAACACATTGAACCTAACGTCTAAATCGGTCTCTAAAGTTCCGACTCCTTTATTCCAAATGAGGCATATATATATATATATATATATATATATGGACCAGTTAAATGGGAAATGATATATAACTGGGTTTGCTTCACCTCGGAATAAACGGCATCAGCATTATATCTGTCGTCCTTTCTCATCCGTTCACATTGCATATATGTATATCTGTCGTCTTGTCATTCCGGGGAAAGTACACCTGTTTACGCACAAGTAAGTTACAACAATCTTGTCTTTCGAGGGAAATAGGGAGGCTTCCTTATTTGTATCTGTGTTCATATTCGGGAAGTGAAATAGAAGCAGATAGATAGATAGATATGAACAAATTGAGATAGATAGATAATGATAAGGCCTAGATAGATAGATATGAACAAATTGAGATAGATAGATAATGATAAGGCCTAGATAGATAGATATGAACAAATCGAGATAGATAGATATGAACAAACTGAGATAGATAGATAGATAGATAGATAGATATGAACAAACCGAGATAAATAGATAGATAGATATGAACAAACCGAGATAAATAGATAGATAGATAGATAGATATGAACAAACCGAGATAGATAGATAGATAGATAGATAGATATGAACAAACCGAGATAAATAGATAGATAGATAGATAGATATGAACAAACCGAGATAAATAGATAGATAGATATGAACAAACCGAGATAGATAGATAGATATGAACAAACCGAGATAGATAGATAGATAGATAGATAGATATGAACAAACCGAGATAGATAGAGAGAGAGAGAGAGAGAGATATGAACAGACCTAGATAGATAGATAGATATGAACAGACCGAGATAGATAGATAGATAGACATGAACAGACCGAGATAGATAGATAGATAGATATGAACAGACCGAGATAGATAGATAGATAGATAGATAGATAGATATGAACAGACCGAGATAGATAGATAGATAGATAGATATGAACAGACCGAGATAGATAGAGAGATAGATATGAACAGACCGAGATAGATAGAGAGATAGATAGATAGATATGAACAAACCGAGATAGATAGATAGATAGATAGATATGAACAAACCGAGATAGATAGATAGATAGATAGATAATAAACAGACCGAGATAGATAGAGAGAAAGAAGATATGATCCAACTTAAATAGGTAGACTGAGTATCACATCGATACAGATAAAGACAGTGAGAGTAAGAAGGAGTTTGTATATATATATATATATATATATATATATGAAGAGACATGTATATGAGATGCATAGTTTGTTAGATATGAACAGACTGAGATAGATAGATGAGAGACACTCGAGGAGAGATATGATCCAATGAGATTGGTACACTGAGTATCACAGCAATACAGATAAGGGCAGAGAGTTAGAGTAAGAAAAGAATGCTAGCTAGATAGATAGATAGAAATAGCATATATATATATATATATATATATATATATATATATATGAAGAGTCATGTATATGGGATACATAGTTTGTTACATATGGACAGACTTAGATAGATATTGTTAAAACAGGACTTTGTTTGAATTATTCCCAAAACAAAAGTCGGACACACAGTGAGGATCAAACGATGTTCACTTTCAATAACCTGCGAAAATAGGTCCTCTCTTGCCACACCATATCTATCTATATATATATATAATATATATATATATTTATATACGTACACTTAGATAGATAGATGCATGTATAGCAGTACGTATGCAACACTGGCATGCAGAAAGAGTGGCTAACTGCTAACGCGCTGCGTGATTCGCCCGCTTGTTCAAGAGAGCTTCCTCGCTCTCACCGTTTGGCTCCCTCACTTTCCCGTGCACACACTGAAGGCAGGCGAGTCGCTAACAGCCACGAAACAGTCAATAGTATTACTCCTCGTTCACTATAGCATCAGTTCACATCCATGAAGGCTTCGCGTCTATCGTCATTCTCCTGTCTGGAGCGCCAGCCGTCGTAAGCATTCAGGTTCTCCGGTCAGCGAGCGTTCTTTCCTTCTTTCCTTTTACCTGCACATACACACACACACCCATACAAACACACACACACACACACACCCATACATAAACAAGAACACACGCAGAGATCCATATACGACCAAACATATATATGGCGCAAAGGCGTACACAAACTTATATATAAATCTATATCTATATACGTGAATATACTACGGATATCTACTCACCGTTTTATGTACATGCTTACCTACACACGTATATATCCATATCGATATCTATCTATCTATAAGATCGTGTAAATTTTGATGTCTTGCAAAGTATTTTAAAAATACACCCTGTTTTGTTCATGCCTCTTTATTAACAACCCGTGTGTTTGCGTGTGTAAATACGTGTACAAAATGATGTCAAGTACACACGTTCGGATACATACTTCAACACACATACGAACGCCCTCATCAGGATGCGAAAAAAATTATTATCAAAACCAGACAATCGGATTCTGTGGATGTCAGTGTGAAGATCGGAAGCGAATGATTTTAATCTAAACATTACAAATATAAAATTTCAGAAAAAAAAAAATATATATATATTGATATATAGATATATATGCATACCCTCAACTTTGGTCTTAATTTAAATTAAATTAAGTCTAAATTTATTGCTTTCAGTGATATTATTGCTATTTTTTTGTTAATTAAAAGAAATTCTCAATAAATTTTGCAGTGGTCAGAAAAAAAAAAAACTTAAGTTGAGACGATGGCTTGCAGAACGATCTAAAAGTTATTATTACTATAACTGCTATTTCATCAGCCAACGAAAACAGATTCGTAAAATTTCTGCCCCCCCCCCAATAGCGGTAACAAAATTACTAATTCTGTCATCTAGTGTGTCGAAACACTTACAAATAGTTGTACATTTTTGGAAAAAACAAGACTGAAAAGTTGGCCACACCTGACGGGCGACGACAACAAAACTTAACAATATAAACACGCACACACGTACACGTACACAACGAAATAACGAAATAACAATAAACATATATAGTCACACACACACACACACACACATATATATATATATTTATATATATATATATATTTATGTTTGTAAATACATTTTCCAAGTTTGAAGGTGGCTGTTTATTTTCGAGGAAATCATATTTACGTATAGATATCAGTCGCTTATATTTTGAAAGTGCATAAAATTTGAAATGTGTGT